CATCACCCAAGGTTAATAAAGTGCAATGTTCAAAATCGTCACCGAAGGCACCTATTAGCTCGTGCTGAAGTTTTCAGAACATACATGACGTCTTGTTTCGACCTAAATGGATGGCAAACCCATTTTGGGCGCTTGCTGCTTGTTGTCTGAAGTAACCAAACTCACAAAATTTACTCTTGATTACTCTTTGGGGATTTCATACCTAAATATGTAGGAAAATCGCCAGATTTTGAAACACTTCTTGGTTAGAACCCGCTTCAGTAAAGGAAGGAGAGAAATGCCATACCTGATATGAAATTAATGAGGTCGGTCAATAATATGAAGAACACATTAAGTCAAGTACCCTGTTAGCAAGTTGGGTGATGATATTTTATGATAATGAAGACATTTCTTCCGGCAGTTATCTATATAACACTTAAGAATAACGAAAGTATTGAATGACAATTGTGTTTAATCCTTAATTAAATTCTTGTCGGTCCATCGGTTTCTTTTGACAGAGGAAATAAGATGGTTAGAATATTCCCGAGGAGAACAGCATTTCTACGTTATCCGAAAATGTATTAATCAGGAACAGAACCTATGACGGGTTGTGTTTTTCCTGCGCGCCAAAGCATGGTTTTGGACGACGGAGTCAAGACCAAAGGCTGCTACATTCTTTACCAGAGAAGTCCATGTAACTAAAATCCCGTCCCAAATCGAACCGTTACACTGTTAAAAATCTATGCAAAGCGTTTTTACGGATTCTATCAATTAATCAAAATGCCGGTTTCGTTTTAAATATCCGGCTACCCATTTTGAAGGAGATGAGAAGTTAATTTTAAATGGCATTTCAGTCACCGCAAGCTTAGCTGAAGCAACAGTAAATAGGCGTGGAGATGAATGGATTTTATCAAGTCCGTCCTACTCAATCATCAGTCACCTAAAACTAAGATAACTGTACTATCGAAGACCAGTGGAACCATGTTTCAAAATGCTGTAGCGTTTACTTTATTTTATGCGTCAGCTCATCTTTGCAATCCCTCACGGCCCTTGATATCCATAAATGTGTTCCAGAAGCCTTTTCGAATCGAACGCGCTGTCTGAATGTTGCGTTCTCCTGATAACGCTAGATTGATTAAGCGACTATGTCGTGTTTTTTCATCTTACACGAAATTTCGGTGTTCCCGTCGATGAAAGTAGTTTTTGACGAGTATTGATATGAGCTACTCTAAACTTGAGGAATATCCATTAGGTTATGCACTTCTTATGTCATTTGGGGCAAAGTAACACGGCAATTTTGTGTGGCAGGCCATGATGAGTAAAAATAGTATTGCCAACCGCTGTGTATCGACCGAAATCCCTGTCTGTCGAAACCAAAGCAGTGTGGCATTCTAGAATACTCTTCAATAGGATGTCAGAAGTAAAGTTCAGAGACAACAATTACGGAGAAACGCATACAAGGACACAGGGAAAAACCAGCGTGTAATTACCAATGATGCTAATTCACACATCACTGTGAAGCTAACTTTACTTTCCCCAGTAAAATGTCACTGACTGGCTGCTAAATTATGGGAGGAGTCGAAACCCTGTGAGCAACGTATATGCATTGGAGCTGGGGGTTTAACATCCACACAGAAAGAGTAAATCTCATAGATGGTACTTTTTTTTCTCTCTGTGGGCCTAAGAACTATGGGACGGCATTAAGAGGTCCCAAACTTTCGGTTCTCACGAGAATAACTGAAGACACTTAGTAGTCTGCCGCGTGTACGTGTACTCTACGGTAAAAATCACTTTATATGACTTCGGCGATGAGAAGCAGCACTGAATAACCTGGTGAGATGCTTAATTTTGGTGATGAAGGGGTTGAGCATGAGAATAAAGGTAGTGATCAGGGTACACGTAAACAAGCTGAATAGCAAACAGTACCCAAAAACCGATTATTGAACCAACAGCTTCCTCGATGAAGTTTATGCGGCTGGATACATAGAAATCCCAAATACGAAGTGAAAATTTGAATGCTAAAATGGTTATTTTCCCCACTTGAGGTTGTTTAATAACCTGCGAACAAGAAAATTTTGGCCAAAAACTTGACATGTTGAACTGTGCTAGTTTTGCAGGCCAGCGGATCTACTATCAACATGTATCCAATTATTTTCCAAGACCAAACCAAACTGGCATACCTAAATTGTGGTTGAAACTGTCCGTCTCCGTTTCACTAATACAAACAAAAGGGCAGAGTTCAATTCCTTCGGTACGCAAATTCTTCCATCAAAATCTGTGCAAACCTCCACGTTTGTAGAAGAAAAGATGTTTGTTAGTTTTGTTTCATGGAATGATCAGCAACGCAACATTTTTTTGTCAAACTGCAGTTTGTATTTCCGAGTGTTTGCAAACTGTATGTTGCAGTATCTGAAGATAATTGACTCAACAAGTCCAACAGGGAGTTTCGAAAGAGCCCTGCATTATCTTGCAGGTTACATATATCCTCAGGTTTAAAACCGGACAGTCAGTCTGCTGAACATCTCGTAATGTACACGGGATTCTGAATGATCATTGATATTGAAGAAAACGTGCTTGATAGAACTTTGACTACAATCAGTTGCCATGTCGTTCTTAGTTTCACTAGATTCACTTACTTTTATCGGCCAGTCCGTTTTCACTTACTTTTGGCAACAAATGTAGGAAAGTGGTTTCCAAACAAACCATGTCTTTTCTTATAAAAGAAGCTACTAACGAGGTTGCTGATAACTAGTCGGCAGCTGACGGTCGGTTCCGCCCTGAGTTTCCGCCAATCTTATGTTCTACTTGAATCCAAATTGAACAGATTGTGACGAATATTCACATTTGCACAGTAACTGGGTTTTCACGAAGGTGGCTCAACTGGATGTGTTGTTCAAGGTACTATTCAAAGGAATGTTCTACACAAAAGTCGCCTCATTTTTCAGCCCGTATGATACTTGAGGTATTGCGGTATATTTTCATGAACCACCTCTTTGTTTCCCTTCAAATTTGGCCATGGCTTTGTATAGTATACAGGCACTTTGTGAGCTCTTGGTGTAGAAATCGATAACGTGTAAATGGTGTACCGTCCAGACGTTGCCCGAGGAAACTAATGATGAGGCTTGAGTTTAGGGACAAGCTAGGAGGAAATGAGTGCGTTTGTTTGAATGTTCACGAAAAAACGCAGGCCTCAGTGAAGTTTTACACAGTGAATCTGTGGAACAAAAGCAGTCGCAAATAAGTCGCTGGCGCCAGGCGCTCACCGCAAACATTCAGTACTCACCAGGTCATTCCGTCTCACGTCACGATAAAACTCCGTGTCATCCGCTCGGCCCAGTGTCCGTATCTTCGGGCACTGCGTTCGTAATATGATAGTCAGGATAGAGAAAGCCACGCCTGCTAATAGACCAAAAGTCACATCCAGCAATACCGTACATACACAGGTGAAAATCCATGTGCCCTGAAAGGAAGGATGCGTTGAACAAGATTAGGAATAGCTAAGATGAAAAAGGTTTTAATTTCTTGTCATCTCAGTCGAATCGATCCAGGTATGAATTTATCATCCCCACCTGAGAATACCTCAGTAAAAGTGGTCATCCCGTGCGCTGTGATTACAAATAAACCAGAGTAAAAGCTGTTGCACGGAAATATTTCCCACGGTAAATTTCATATGTTATAACGTGCTTTAGATAAAAATTTGTCCGCCTACGAGATATCCCTTGTAACCTAGCTCTACCTACCAATATGGATGGGCTTTATCCACAGATTAAATGACACAAATCACTAGGGCTTGCATTCGTCGAACCCGGTTAGATTGTGTTTTGTGAAAACAAGAGATGAATCGCAATACAATGTTATCAGAAGTAGGGTTTATGTCATCCATCATTTTATGCGACCAAAAGCTTTCGCCAGGAGTGCTGGTCTCAGAGCCGCACAATCCTACTGCCAGCTGCTTATAAATTATGTTATGGAAAATAAATTTAGTCCAGGGTTGCGCACGGTTTGAATTTCAGCTTTTGTGTGCTTTGGTTCTAGGAGTCAGGTGTGTGTTTTGATCTCTCCCCTGGTGGCTAGGTCAGACCTCAGAAAAGTTACTTGTTGGCTCCAAGAAGGACCTTCCAAGAAAATCCCAAACATCAATCGCTACTTCAGCCAGGTCATTGAGTTATGGTTTATGGACAGGACGGCGCAAGAAGTCAGACGCTTGGGTTCAGCGTGAAATATCTTTTAAAAAAGTTTTTAGTTGTGCTTATGATCGGGAAAGTAATATCTCACCCAGTACGTCTGAAGCACAGTAGGCTCATTTGCAACCTTCTGTTCATAGCGACCACAAAGGATCATAAACTCTTAAGGTAAGCTATCCGAAGATTTCATTTCCCAGCATTCTAAGAAGTCACGGTTGTACGCGATCAGTTTAACTTGTTTGCTTGTTTAACTGACTGCACTGAACTGAGCGCACCTCCATAAATTCCAACTTCCCTCGCTCACACTGTCTTCGTGGTTTGTTGCGTTGTCTAACACACTTGGGTTAACGAATTTTCCGTTACCCATGAACGAAAATCACAAGCGCGACTTACGAAATCCCAAAACGAATATTTCCATAGGGTCTTCAACTCCAGCGCATGAATAAACATCCCCTTCAAAGCGACGACAATAATGGCGGATAAACAGCACTGTAAAAGTTCAAAAAGGAAAAATGCTAGATATTTCGAGGATATAGCAATTTAGGAGGCACATCCTAATAGTTAGCAGGTCTGCAACCTCCTCGTGACTGCTTCTCAGTATATGGCGTGTAACAATAAACGACATTCCTCAGTAATCAGCCGATCATCATTTTCAGGCAATCTAAACCGAGGCAGACTTGATGTCCGGGTAAATTTTGTTTATCTCATGAGACAATTCCAGAGAGAACACAGCATACTTCACTAGCCATGGAAACCAAATGATAGCAAATATCAAGTGCTATCACCAAAATCCTTGTGGAGTTGCTAGAGAGCCTTTTCGTAGTTATAGAACACAGAAGAAAGTTCCCCAGATATATACAGATCTACTCCATGAATCAGTTAAAAAAGGAGGAAATTTTATGTACGACATTTTGCAGAAGATCCATTCTCAACTGACCATTGACATAAAATCACTGGAATATCAGATTATTCGCCGCACAAGCCCCACTGGTGCAACGCCAACACTAGCTCAGTTGTCTATTGGTCAATGCACCTCAAAATTGGAACCCAACATTTTCAACTACCGGCGTGTAATAAAAGCAACAAATGGGATTCCGTTTTTAAGGGATTAAGTTTTGGGAACTCAGGAAGTTTTCACACTGCTTGGCATGACTATGGATGTTGTCAAATCTGGTGAGCCACGAGCCCGGAACGCTGTTATTCTTACTCGTCACTTGATGCTGTTTTCTGAGTCTGGCACAGGGATATCAGGTGATAGTTCTGCATGTTCTATGGGGTGAAAAATTTAGGTTTGTCCCAAAAGGTTTGTTTTAAAATTCGATTGTATATCCTGTTTCTTATATGATGAGGAATAACAAACGCTAATAGCCAAAGAGCCAAAGGTGTAACGGTGGGTGCTACTGACTACTACTAGATCTGTGGAAGATGTAACTCTCGTAACTAGATCTAGTGGAAGATGGTATTTATTACCGAATTTGTGGCATTGCTTTGTATCATTCGTTTACATTCGCTTGAACGTCGATGAATATCCATGAAAGTTCACGAAGCCGTGTTCAAGAAGAAGACTGATGTTCATTTTTTAAAAGAGATGCACATGATAGTTTCACTTTCCTGTCCCTGTAACCGCTCGGTTGGTGTCTTCTAATAAATAACTCTCCGGCGAAGGGCTTCTTCTTTTCAAAGTTACGAAGAGCGAACAAATGACAGAGCACAACAAACTGGTCTCAAGGCCACATAGATATAATCTAATGCAGGCTTCAGGTAACAAGATTTGTGAAAAATTGGGACCTGTGATCCATAATAGCTCCTCAGTTTTGCTAATCACTGTGCGCTTAGTGAAATTGAGCATGACAATAGAGTGCACAAAATATGATGCGAATTTCTTAAAAAAAATTAAAATCTAACCAACAATGTATTTAACCCTGGAATACAGCAGGGGCGTAGTCGGGATGCGTCTTCTTTTTCAGAAGGGAACATGTTAGCAGTGTCCTGTGAATGTTCTTAACATTCGACCAAAATTAACTGATTCATGGGGCACCCTTTTTTTAAGGTATAGCCCAACGGAATTCTTTGATGATTGCTGAGAGTTATCCGCAATAATGAATTGGGCATGTTGATACCGTCAGCCAAACTAAATTGGCCACTGTTTTTTCCAATATAACAAAGTACGGCTGAGTGGTTTCCCTTGCTTGTTTAACTGACTGCACTGAACCGAGAATACCTCCGCTAAATTCCAACTTTCTCCACTTACACTATCTTTGTGGTCTGTTTCGTATTCTAACACAGCTGGATGAATGAATGGCGCGAAGTACACACTGTCTATAGGTGAAGCTTGAAAGATGCACCGAGTCCCCATACAGCCACCGCTGATTCCTGCCTAGCCTACCGGGGATTCAGTGCCCGAGAGGAAGTAAACACACGCTATTTCATGGGTTTATCCTGTCTCCAGGTCTGAAGCCTCTGCATCTCTCTTCACTTTCAAAAAGAATTCTGTATGTCACCTTCAGTTGAATTCCTCCTCAGTGGTGCAGTTTCAAAATGAACCATGGGTAGAAAAATATAACAGTAATAATGTGAAGCCAGCAGACAATGGCCAGTTGGATGAATCTGACTGGGTCTGAGCTACCAGCGGCTCCCCACCTTCTGAGGCAGGCACTAGACGTTGCTCGAAATGCTCCCTGGAAATCATTATACGTGGAACAAAAACTCACGTTTGGCACAGAATAGAAAAGCGGGCCAATGAAAAACAGCACGAAGAGAAGAAGAATGGATGAGAAAACTGTGGTCACTTCAGTTTTACCTCCAGCAGCAACTTGGACAGCTGACCGTGAGAGAGATGCAGCCGAGGGAAAAGCGTGAAAGCACGAACTGATGGAATTGGTGAGGCCAAATGCGAACAGCTCCTGGAACGAGTAGCAGAAAAGGAGTATGAGTGGAATAATTGCAGATTTAGGCTTAATGGAAAACCATTGTGGTCGATAGGAAGTTGGGCCCCGATAAATGTGAACGGGAATTCCATCTGCGGTCAGAAACTTAGGAAGCTGAAGTGAAACTCTAGTATAGCTAACCTAAGTGAGCCGTATTCATAATGAAATCCCCCTCAGTAGATGTTACCGAATGGGCTGAGTTAAGCCCACAGATTGCCAACAGTTCAAATGTGATTCAGAAGTGCATTGTTTTCCACATTTCGGAATGCTTCCTGACCTCACTAAGGTGAGCACGTGAACAGCTCATATCTATTGAATGTGCAGACTCATCTAGGGAGGCTGCCGGAGCCAAACAATAGAAGAAGCGTAGATAAATAGAAGAGGCAACTTGGAATAGCAAATTACTGACATATTAAAACGTGGTAATCTTTCTTGGTAAGAAGCTTAACTTAGCTAGACTCCATGTCCCACCATGGCCCAAAAAGGACTATTCGAGAGACAGGTTACATTGTCTTAACTTAGCTAGACTCCATGTCCCACCAACAGGCTAGCTAGCACGAGGAGCACGGAAAAGACGAATAACATAAAGTCAGGCTTGACGTCTCATTATAACTGTGACCGTATCTCGAACAGAATGAAATCCCAACAGCTGGCCTACATTGCGATTAAGTGGTTACCTCTGGGTAATGTGGATTTCAATGCCTGACTTGGGGAATCAAGTTGGCAATAGTCAGTATTAAGAAGTATAATAAATGTTCGGATTTAGTCTGGGGACAACAAGCAAGCGTCTGGCCGGTCACGCTCCAGGTCTACCTTGGCCGGAAACTCATTTTAAAGTAAACCACTAATAAAGCGGCTCAAAAAGTGCTATTCGAGCGACAGGTTACATTGTTTTTACATGGGTAATTCGCAAAGACTGTGCCTTCCGCTCTCGGGAAACTGTCTTGCGTAACATGCGTGATGATAGTTGTCCTACAAACTATTCTTCAGAAGCTGGCATTTCAGCTTTAATTATGACTACTTCATGAGCAGTCTGGTCTTTCAACGTCAAGTAGACCTGCCATTGATTAAAATCCGCTCACAATTGAAACTAAAAGTGCTGTTCCAAAAACCAACCACCTTGAATTGCTTAGTCAAAAAGCAAACAAGAGTGCATGCAATAAACACTCGTCATTTGCGCGTTCAAACAAACCGGAGACTTTCAAAACGGAACAGATGACAATGTGCCCAAAAACTTACTTGATTGCTGTCGACTTCGTAGTCAAATCTTTTGGAGAATATCCGCGTCAAAGAAATATTCACTGAATAAGAAACAATTGCGATCACAATTACGTCACCGATGGAGTCTCCGACAAGTGAGAGATCCGGCCCTTTTGGAGGAGGAATGCTGAAAGTGGTTGGTTTCAAAATGACTGAGGCAGAACATCAAACATTCCAACAAGAATATAGTGAACTGCAAACCTGTTTATCTAGGAACACTACACCAGCCCCAGTTACTTTAAGGATGTTTGCATAGTCCCAGAATATTCTCATTGTGACGAACATTGACGGCTTTGTGACCTCATCATCATATTCGCACACTCTAATGCTTAAAATATGGATAAATAATGAAATAAAGAACTGAGATTAGTGACCAAATTCAAAATGGGGGACAGAACATCGGTTGACACTGTGGCGAAAGTCTAATCTGATTGAGGGGTTTTAAATGACCTGGAAGGCGTCGGGCCCATGGGTCGAGAAATACGTGTCACATGACCGGGACAGAGTCAGGTTTGTGCGAATCATTTCTAAAAGCATTGTATCGGCTTCCGCCTGCTTTGGCTGCATACAGATTAGGCCATTTTACCGGTATCACCAATCAATGAGACACTCCGTGAAATGTGAAACAACTCAGTCGGGTTCATTGCCAAGCATTTGGCTAGACTTTGATGTCACTGCAACCAGCCGACGTTGCGAACAATTCAGCCCTTTACACCTATGAGGCTGAAGAGACCAAGCTAAAAAAATTCAAGCCAAAAATGTGCCTCTATCTTGATGAATTCAGCTCAAGATCCACTACGGGATCGGCAAACTTACAGAAAGCTTGAATGCTAAGATGCCGATTTCTTTTAGTTTCAGCGTTGGAATGCCCCATGCTACTGACGAGTAAGGAGTAGCTGCTTCCTCTGACCTAATTGTTCCTTACGTTCTGGCGCACAGGAAATTCAGTTACCGAAAATCAAAAGGTTTCAAAGCAACTGACAGCCGAAGGAATAACATATTTGGTCCCAAAGGCTGATTTTTAGTAATCCACAAACACCAGTTGTCAGTTTTAATTCT